GGAACCCGTCCTGCTCTACCCCGACAGCACTCTCTTCGACTCGGGTGTGGTTTCCGACATCTCCACCTTCCAAGACACTCACGATCCGGAGCCCCAGTCCACCTGTAAACCCGACCCCGACAGCCCGAACAGAGAATACGCTTTTAAAACGCCCATCAAGAGCAGCCACCCTTCCTCATCCACTCCCAGTAAGCTTCCCATAGTTCTGGAGCCCTGGAGGATCACTCCTGTCAGAAAGGGAGGCGTGCTGGACTTCAGCCCCATCCGTACACCCAGTGGGCCACAACTTACCCCGCAACGGCACGAACACACGCCTCTCAGTTTCAACAGCACGCCTTTCAAAGAGCTGCAGCTCTTCAGCTCCCCTCGAGAGCTGCTCACCTGCTCCAGACGCTCCACTCCGACCTGCTCCAGAGAGCTGCTGCAAGTGGGCGCCGCCAACCGCTCTCTCACCGAAGGGCTCGTCCTGGATACCATGAACGACAGCCTGAGTAAAATCCTAGTCGATATCAGCTTTCCCAACCTGGAGGATGATGATCTCGGCATGGCAAACATCAGCTGGTCCCAATTTATCCCGGAGCTCAAGTGACTCCTGTAGCGTATCTCAACTTCCTTTATCCGAGCTGCTCACACTTCCTTCACTGCCTTTGATTCTTATTTACTTGCTATTGATGTCTTAAGTATTTTCTTCATTTCTATTGCTATTTCACTGCCTTTTACTGTACGTGTTTGTGTTTTGTATGTGTAGGCCTTTATTTGTGTGCAAAACTGTTAGTGACGAATGTACTTAGATACGATTAATTTGCACAAGTTGTAATATATAAATATGAGTGTGTGAGAGAGAGTGTATATTATAAGTAGACATACAGATTTACCAGATTAATTAATTTACACTACTCAATTCTACAATATTTCTTTGTTTTGGAATGATTTTGAACACCTTGGATTAGCCAGATAGACTGACGGTAAAAAATAGCACACAAAAAGAGATTTTTAAGAGAATTTGGGGTGTAAAAAAACCTCACATTCAAATTAAAGGGATGGTTCACCCAAAAATGACGAAAATTCTTTCATTTACTCACCCT